CCGCCCTCCCGCGGAGGCCGTCGCCTCGCCGGTGCGTCCCCGTTAGCTTGTGCGCGTGGGTAACCTGTTAGTCACGGATGGATGGAAGCGTAGAGAAAACGGTGGAAAACCCACGAGAATTGAAACAGTCCCTCAGTTACGTTAGCGACACGAAAAGCGTTTGTGCTCCGGGTGGGTCACTGGATGTGATGCGGGGGGGCGGATGGCAGAAGGCGATGAAGCCAGGCTGATTTGCCCCGAGACCCAGCGCTGCCCCTTAACTCCGGTGAGCTCTTGGTCGGTTACGGCCAGCCGTTGAGGGGCGGCTGCCTGCGCCTTGCTGCCAGCCGAAGCCTTAAGCCAAGGTAGCCGAGTCGCCCTTTTGACAGGTTATTACAAGTGACTCTTGGTAATGCTTTCTCCAGTTTCCCACTACCAGGAGGAAGCACACGCACTCCCGTTACGCCAGGATTGCCCAGGCGTCGAGCCGCTCTTACCCGCTAGCCCCAGCCCCGGTTGCAGGAGAACCTATAGTAAGTTACAGTTACATGTCAAACGTCAAAATGTTGTATTTCTTCATTAAAAAAAAAAAAAAATCGATTGATCGTTGTTGAAACACGTGCCCCGAAGCGGATGTGTTTCACCGTTCTTCAGGTAAGATGCAGAGGAAGCTTCTGCCACCTCGCCCAAAGAGCCTTTCCACCCTAGCAGAGGAGTGCTCGCATGCGCATGCAATTAGGATGTTTTTTCATATCGTCACCCACAGATCCTAGAGGCCCTAGCGCTTGTACCAAAAGCGGCAGTACGTTTTCAGTGTTGGCTGAAATATTACTACTTTTGTGAGGGAAACCTCACTCATTAGAAAAGGAAAGCAAAACGAAAAAGCTGTCCATCCTGTTTACGTGAACAGCCAGGCAAGGACTGCATAGACCGTAACCTTTTTCTCAATGGGTAGTGGATAAAAGGTCCGGGAAGTTTTGTGTTTTGATGCAGCGGGTCAATGTCGGTGCGCTCCTTTCCCCTCTTCCTGTCGGTGTGCGGCCAGGCTTGGCAGCGCCGAAGCAAAGTGAAAAAGTCCAGACTTATAACATTTTATTGTCAGTTGAATAATATCTTTTTTGACACTGAAAACTGACTGCATAAACTAGCTGCTTTGATATAAGGATGAGAAACCTCTTGGCACTTTATATTTCTTGTTCTCCTTACAAAGTAATTAATAAAAGCATTTTTCAGTATGTTCCAAAGTAACATTTAAATAAACGATTTGATGGCCTTTGTTTCTCTTCTCAAAACGTACCGAAAGGTTGCTCAGAATTTTTTAACCTCTCTATAGGGGTATGGAGTCTGTTCAATGTGTATGATATATAGCCTTTAAAGTATTAAATGACTCCTAAGGTAGGCTCAATATAAGCAAAGCAGAGAACTTAGTCTAGTGCCAGAGCGCGAGACTGGAAATCCACCGTTACGTGCTTCGCTGAGAATGAGCAAGTCAATTTCTCTGCATTGCAGCTTTTTTATCTCTAACCTCACACGGGCGTTGTAAGCGTTAATTGCTTCCTGTAAAGTATGTTAAGATGCAGAAATGGATGTTGCCTGTATAAGTGCAAAGTATTTTTTCTCTGTTCATTTTTAACCCTAACAGTAGCACGTTTGTTCCCAGTAGGAAAAAGTGAACTCTCATAGTAGAAGAAAATGACAATCCACAGAGTTTGGCACCCTTAAAACAATACTCTCCCTCAAAGGTAATAAATACAAAAGAAACAGCAAAATTCAGTGACTGCGTTATTCATTCAGTCCTAACGCCGTGCTAGATTCTGGGCAATGCCACCTGTTTGGAAGAGCAGTTTAAAAATACTTCGGAGCAGTTTTGTCTCGTGGAAGGTCTTTTTTTGCCACCTGACTAGTAACCGTGCACTGTCATAGAGCAGAAACGTTCACTCCTCAGTATAGTTTTCCTTTTAGTTCATATAATAGACAACTGCTATCTTTATTCATGAAAATAACAAACCTCCAAATAAATGTTACTAAGATACTTGCTTTCAACAAGCTCCTGACAGTGCAACTGCACAGATCTTTCAACTAGCGTATAAAGGATATTTTCCGTGTCAAATTTTTTTGTACTTCATTTTTCCCTCGTTGTTTAGAACTAGGTCCCTCTGTAATCGCAGTTATTTCCTCTGTGCGTACCAAGACTTCTGTCTTTGGCGTTGTCTTTGTCCCAGTGCTAAAGATGTTGACCATTCACAATTCCGGGTGATTTCGGTACGAGCGGTGCACATTAAGCAACGCCGCTTCAGTCATGTCAGTGGTGCTGCAGTAACCTTTCTAGTTTGTCTGCTATTATTTTCTGGTTTTCTTATCCTTTAATATATCGTGGCTGAATGATAACATAAGGCCAAGGAAAGACTTCTTTCTCCAAACTTACATTATATGGCATTACGTCGTATTAGTGTCCTTTTTAGAATAATGTATTCCTGACAATTTAAGAATGCAAAATAAAGCCACAGAGGTACAAGAATGCATAAAACATGCAAGAGTAGGTATACAAACTTTAAATGTACGGCTTGTGTAACAGTGTGGTGTTGCACCGAAGCATCTGTTTTATAACTTACCGTGGGTGGGCCGCATGCCGGTAACCATGATGAACAGAATCCCATTTTTGGGGAAGAAAATCCGTAATACTTAATGTATGATGGTAAAGGGTACGTAAGGGAAGAATGGACATACTTGATTGAATGAAAGGCAGTGATCTGGAGTGGATGCTTGGAAAACAGTATAAGAAATAGCGAAAATATAACATAATTCTTCTCTCAGCAATCTGTGTTTCCAGCAATTAGCAGTGTGGAGTTTCCAGTGTGGGGGCTGCATTCAGACCATCGTATTTAACATCTATTTGTAGATCTTCTATGAATTTCTCTTAAGGTCTACTTTAATCTGTTTTGACTTTTGGTTTCAACAACAGCTTGAGCCATAGAGTTCCAAGATTAATTTTTGTATAAAAGTACCTCACCTTCACCACATTAGCTGTATACTGGCTGCTTGATATTCTTACTGGGTGGTCTTCCATTCCTGTTTGCTGATAAATGGTGGACAATGATTTTTAATATACTGTTTTATGACATCTGTGATTCCACGGGCTTCAGTATTCCTTCTCCCTTAGCCTTTACAGGCAGAAGAAAAATCCAGGTCACTTCAGTTTCCCCTATGCGAAAGCCACTCCCCATCTCCACTCCTCCTCATCTTACCCTTTTTTGTGGGTTTTTTTCTACTAGAACTTTTCTTTTTCCCTCCCAGAGAAAATAGGAATATAGAACATCCCTTTGCTTTCCAGATATGTAAGTGGTATCACAGTCAGACTGCTTATCAGTAGCTTGATTGTGTGACCTGCATAAGTTCATGTCTGCTAAGCTTTTACAGGCTGGAATTGAATAGCGCTTAAATAAAACCAGTGCTTTTTCTTGGCAAGTACTTTTAAATATTGTGTTGCATTATTTAAAATGTATCTATCGTTGTGCCAAAAAATGTATTCCTAGCTCTACTGGAATGTCTACCATGACCTCCTAACCAATCTGCCATGCCAGAAGGTAACCTTTTTTTTTCTGGCAGGTGAGGTTGGAGGAAAAAAATTATGTATATTTATTTCCTAGAACAGATCCTTTGACTTGTGTATGATCTTATGCAGAAAGGAAAACAAAGCTGAAGGAAGAAGCCAATTAATTTTCATCTGAATTTTACATCAGGAATTACACAAAATATAGAACTCTTTCCTACCACCTAATAGAAATAAAATGGGCTGATAGATAACAGACTGACAGTTATTGCATGTATACTGCCTTTCAGTGTAATTCATTTATTATTTTTTAGGTAATAGCAGCCTATACTGTTCTACTTACTCAATTTTATTGCTTTTGCTATATTACCTTTTCAAATGCAGAACCACAGGTAAACCAAATGTAACTGTTCATCAACCCCATGAAGTATTATTTATAACATTAAAGCAATCACAGCTAATGCATCAGTTAATCCCATACCTCCTCTGATGGAGCCTTCCTGTACGACTACACAGCCTGGTTTTACCATTTGAAAAGAAATTGGATAACCTTTGAGATAAATTTCCCTGCCCTATATGAGAAGGTTGAAATACCCTTGCATTTAAATACTTTATGCCCTGTACTGCCTTTATGTCTTGAACACAAATCTTGGAGCTTTTTTAAAGCAGGGTATGACACTTGGTCCACTCATCTGATATAGTAGGTGTGTGTAATGATAAATTACATACATTTGGCAGTAGTTCAGTTACGTCAGACTTTCGTTTCTTCAAGACTCAGACAAATGTCATCTGGGCTTTGTGATTTAATTTCCTTTTTTCTTGCACATCTTAGCAACTGCCTGTGTCTTGCCTTCCTTATTTATAAAGGGTAAACCTTGGGCTGCTTCTTGCTAGTCCCGTCTTTCTAGAATCATTTACCTCTGCTTCTGTTTTCTTAATTAAAGAATAGAATATATTGCTCTGGTAATGGAATTGAAGTAAGGGCATTAGCATTAATACTGCTCCATGTTTTGCTTCTTATTTAGATGCATCGGTCTGCTTCAAACTTAAAAAGATGAGTAAGATCAGTAAAGCTGGAAAACACATAGAACTGAGTCTAAACCTTTACGCTGAATTGGAGTCTCTTTCTACAGCTATGGACCCAGAAGGAATCTCAAATCTCAGTGAACTCTGTTTCAGGTCCAGTGAGAAGTCGCTGTTGAACACCCTGAGGACTGTATTTACTCAGTGAACCAACCTGTGTTGGAGATGGGAAAGAGCATTTCTTCTCATGGTTCCTCTGAATGCAATAGCCTGCTGTTTGACTATGTGCGTACTGGAACTGGCAGTCAAATCTCTGCTCAGTACCAGTTAGTGATGGTAAAAATAATATTCCAGAATTGTTTTCAGTTTGAGGGTGAGGATGATCACAAGAACACAGGCACTTTTGGATGCACAGCACTGTGATGCGAGAAGATATTTGGGAAAATCCTTTTTGCTCTAAATTCAAACCACTTTTATCGAGATGCATCTATATTTGGCATTACCGGAGGATTAATTTGGTCATCAACCTATTTCTTCATGTTTGATAAAATTTCATTTCAGAAATAAAGGATTTATAGCTTACTTTCCCTCAATGCACGTTATCATTTATATAACTGACAGCTTCAGTTGTTAAAAGCAGTACATGAGGTTTTTTCCAATAAAGGGCTCACATCTTTCTGACGTTTATTACAAGTTTATTACTTACTTCCTTCTCAGTGAAGCTCTTTCATTCATTGTGGGAGTGTCTGAAGTACAGATTTTTCATTATCTCTGACTTACCATTCATTTTAGGCCAGAAGTGGTTTCATTTCAACTGGTTGTTAAGAACAGGAAGGGCATGAAAATACATGAAGTCAATTAAGCTAAGAAAACTCATTTGGGATGGAAGGGGAAGGTTAAGGTATGGGGTTTTTCCCAGGTGATATGTCTGCCTTCTCAGAGTAGAGAGAAAGTGGGTTAGTCACTCTTCTGATTTACTTTAGAATAAAAATCACTGCCTAGAAGATTGAGTGAACTGGTTATGTGATACAGAACGTTTTCGCTTCTGTATCACCATCATGGTGATTATATTAAGACAACAGAGTCCTTAACTGAGTGCTTAACTGAGCAGCATCCTTTGTCCCAGGTAGGTAGTAAATCAAATTGTAAAGGACATTTCTGTATCTGCACACAGATGCTAAAATCGGATTGCATATTCACCCGTGGAGAAAGAGGCCATCCCATGCCAGCTGGTCGCAGTGCCAGAGAATGGTCCCGGACAAGTTTAATGTACTTATACAGATGAAGCCTTAAGGAGCCTTCCTCCGAGTCCTAAACGCATGGTAAAGATCCTCAAAAATCTGCACACATAACTGCTTCTGTCGGGGGACCACAGTTGCAATCCTAGCCCCTTAGATCAGGGAGCTGAGCTAGTTTAACAGTTTTTCCCTTATGCAGGACAGGATCTGGTCCTCTGTCTAGAAATGCATCAAATTTCCGTATTTGTAATACTTGCTTTTGTTTCGCGATAATGTTTTAGGTCTCTCATAAAGATCTGCCACCTTGCCAAACCTCAGTAACAATTTTGATCACGTCTACTCTAATCATTTCTCTAGCTTGTTCATAGTAAAACTTACATGATAAATGAAGACATCATTTTAGTAAAACTCAATTTTCTTTGTCAATACGATTTATCTTTCCCCTTCAAATGGTCTTTTTTAAAATTAAAACTTATGCTGCTAGCATTATCCTATCAATTGTTTTGGGTTTTTTTTCCCCTTAATCTGTGCTTCCAATCTCCATCTGCATGAAGGGCAAATTGTACTTCAAAATCTTACATAGAAACAATGCTTTATGAATATTGGAAGTCATATAGCTTTCTTATTAGAAATAAAAAGTGTCTTGAATTCACACCGTAAAACTGCCTTTGGAATTTCAGCACATGTTCTCTTGGAAACCTTGGAGGCGTTCATCAGAGAGAGTACTGTCTTTCTGGTCTCAACTCAGAGGAAAAATAATGTTTTACAAACTCAATTAGAGTTCTCGAAAATAAAACCATTAGAAATGGCAGCCTTGAGTAGAAAACATGAAATGATAACAGGAGTTTGATCTAGCTAAGTGTGGGTCCTGCTTGAAACAACTCATAAGCCACAAGAGAAATAATTCACACAGGGAAAAGGGAGGTTGGCAAACCCAGGCACATCTAAGTTACTCCCTTGACAGTGAATGAGGAAGTTTATCTTCCTTCGAGATGGCAGTGGCTAAATGTAGTTATCTGTATTGTTTTTCTCATTTTTGTTTCACGTGTGGAATTGCATATCTGTAACTCGGAAGTAAAATGAGCATTCTTTTTAAAATAAAGATCACCCTTCCTTTAACGGTCAACCAAATGATATTCTAAATGCACTTGCTGCATACCAAAAAAAAAGGTATCAATAGGCAGATAAATACCACATTATAATTGGGTGGTGTTTCGGGCTGCTGCTGCCTGGGAAGTATTATTTCGTCTGGTCTAGTAGACTTTCTGAGCATCTCTTTTCCATTGGACTTCACACAAAACTCACAGGACGTAGTTGCCTGCTGCCTGCTTTCAACCCAGCAGGGCAGTGCATAAATCATTCATCAAGGGTGTGGAAGACCTGTAAATAATTATCAACTCTGCTCAAGGAGGCCTGAATTTATGTGTTTGGTCTCCCAGGTGTGAGCTGCAGGCATACAGTCTGCCGGCGAGCAAGGTCTACGGGGCACTTCAGAGCTGAGCTTTTTCAATTATCCCTGCTTGTACAGCTCCGCACTGTAGGAATTGGTATATTCCCAGCCTCGGGAGGTGGCAAGTTAGCTATCTGCTGCAGGCAGAGGGACACAAAGGTCTAGAAACCCTGCTTTTACATGCTGCTGCTGCATGCAGAGGGTGGCGTGCCGCATTACGAATTTGGTGGGGGTGAGGGTGGCGGTCTCTGTGCTGCATCCCCCCGTGTCCCTGGACGTGCCAGCAATGGACGGTAATTTCATACCACTTCCAGTGAGCAGGCCTGGGTCCAAGTCCCTGCTTGAAAGGCTATTTAATGGGAGAAAATTAAACATTCATTGGAGGCAGGCTTAGGACCCAACTATCCACAGCATCACCCTACCTTCTTTCTAGCCCAATTAATACTTAATGATTCTGTGCGAAGTGGTATGGCTTTAATAGGGTGGACTGAGAGAAATTTCCTTCCTGCCTCATTAGCCAGCAGTCTCGCAAGCTCTCACGGGACATGGGAGCTGCAGGTTGAAGTTCTCTTAGGCGGAGGAGGAAATTAAATCCAAGTCACCACATCCTGTGTGGGCACCGCAGCCACCGCACCGGGACTACGCCAGAGGCGCCAGCGGCACCTCCTCCCCCTGCCAAAGGCACACCACCAAATACTTAATGAAACTCGCAGCAAATTCTCCACTGTATCGGGTACAAGCGCGTTAGTATGTGCTAAACATTGTATTCTTAATTTCCAGACTAATATTCATGGAGTGTGATTTGAGAAAACTACAGCAATATTTTAATCAGAATTATTCACCTGAAGTAGCTGTTAGATATTTATGGCATTAATTCAGGCTTAATGGCTTTCTGCCTAGGGAAATCTTTCATTTTAATAACACGTAGATCACATCCAAGGGTGACCTCCTTCATATTTGGAAAACACATATTCTATATACAGTCTTTTTCTGGGGGTTAGTTTTGCTTCTGTCAGTAACTGCTGCCACATTTTAAATGAGATATCACATTTTCATCTGTATAATAGCGGCCAACAATCTTTTTGGCTCAAAAATAAACCGCAAATGTTCTTTCTTACAAATAAATGAACAGTCATTACCCATTGTGGTGTAAACTCCGTGTCTCACAACACATTTGCATTTACTCCATTTAAATGCAGAGGGGTTTGGCCTTGGTACCTACAACAATAACAGAAATATTACTTGTAAAGAAATGAAGTGTACTATAAAAGGAGAAACTAGATTTCCCTTTGTAAGTACTCCTTGCAAATGTTTTCCTGAGGCATTACCCAAATGTCATTCATACTGCTTGCAGAATTTCCCGTGTTAAAAAATGCATTAATTTGGTTTAATTTTGCAAGGCTTTATAGGAATCCATCTGAAACCAGTGCAGTTCATTGAAATCTTTCTTGTGGTGGGAAGATGCCACCCACACCTTGGGAGAGCATCTGCTGTGTTGTAGTCAGCCTCCAAGTAGCGTTCAAACCTGGAAGTGCCTTAATTGCCTCCTTCAGTGCTGCTGTCAAAATTTCGCGCATGACAGAACGTACTAGGTTGCTATCAACCATTAACTTTTTCCTACCTCATTTAAGGTTTGTAACGCCACCAAAAGAAATAGTATAGCTTTCTCCTGCGTCTCTGCATACGCTGAAAAGAACAACGTGTTTGTGTGTAGGTTCGCTCATACTGAAGCAGCACGTAGCTAAGAATGAGTTAAATTTCAAGTATAGTGGTGTACTGTGGGTTAAAATAGATCCTGAGTCTGCATAACAAAAGGATTAAAAAAAGTTGAGTTCTGCGACAGTGCTAATTTGTGAACAGCTGCCCAATTCTAAGCTTATTTCTTTCAGACTTCCTAATAGAATTATGAGTGCTGTACTGCTGAAAGGGAAAAACCTTTCTAATTAAGTTCTTACAAAACAGGGTGCATTATCTACAACTAAGAATTGGTTAGTTTCAGACTTTTTCTTCCTATTCATCAATTAATTAAAGTCAGCGAACAGTTTCAACATATTGACGTCATCTGAAATTGTTCTATTCTATGTGAACATAAAGCAGCATATAAATTGTTTACAAACTTCTCCTTATTAGGAATACTTCAGAGAATTTGAAACCACAGATTTAATACTTGCAGTATCCATCAATGTACACCTCGGGTTCGTCTAGCTACTCCTCCTTCCCAATTTACATAGTTAAAATGATACAGAAACAGCATGTAGGGTAGGCGCCGGGCTGTATTCAGCTGGCACCTCTGAACACCAGCAAAAGCTACTGTAATTCTAGGGAATGCATTTGGATAGACGAGAGATGTACCAGTATGGAGTCAAGCCAAACTTTCTGGGTTTATTGGGTTTTGCGGCAAAAGAGGGCTTTGTGAAACGGTGCCACTCATCTGCTCGCTCGCATCCTCCAGTTAGGTTTTCTGCTGCTGGTATCTTTATCTAAAAAACTGAGGCCCTCTGGGGTTTTTATTCCAGTTGTTCCTTCTTTTTAAGATGAATCTTTCTATTTTTCACTGACGTTGCAGAATCTCAAGGTTTCTTTTTTCTTTCCTCTGGTATCAGCCCCATCAATATTTTCCTTCCTGCAGTCATTAGGCTCCCACTACAGCCAATTAATCCTGGCCGTGTTCTTTTTGTTGATCAGTTCTGATCTGAAAGAATGTTGTTTGCATCCGAACTCAAAATATGATTTCCTACCGCAAAGCTGTAACATTGTTCATTCATTTTTAATGCTTTTTGTCGACTTGTCTTTTTTTGGGGAGACAGCATAGACATTTATACGTGTAGAAGCAAAACAACCCAATCTGATCTCATTACTCTGTGCTTACCAAAATGAAAATGCTAGCAGAGGAAACGCTCTCAAATGTCTCTGAATATGTAAAAGATAATTTAATATTTCATTACCCATAATTTTTGCAAGCCTTTTGCATCAT